TTTTAAACAAGTTTATAAATAGGTACTAAAGATAAGTATTCATGCCAGGTAAGTGATTTTTTTAAAAAAGTGCTTTTCTTTATTCAATTTCCTGTGTATTTCCTCAAAGCAGTTAAGCTGGTAATATAATTATTTCACTGTTTCTTTACTTAATAAAAACTATCTGCTGTCAAAAAGTTAGAAAATAAAATTTAGATTAGTCCTTCACTGAACTGTCATTAAAAAAAGTTAGCAAAGATGTTTTTTCTTATAGAATTTTAAAAATTCTATCAACATGACTATGACCTATCAACATGAGTAGTGCAATTCTTAACCTCATTGAAAATTCAAAAACCAAAAGTATCTTATGGACTCTGGTGCTCATTAGTCCAAACCAACATTATGTGGGAAAAAGAAACTTATACTGCTGCACTTTTCTGATTTTCCTAACAACAACATGCATCATTCCTATAATCAGAAATAACATTATAAACCATATTTCTTAGACATGAATTTCTTTTAGTATTCACTATGACTAGTATTGTCTGCCCTTTACATTGCTAAGGGCCTAATTTAAAATAAGTACTAATGACCAAAAGGGTTATTAAAAATGTGAAACACACACCCTCCAAGTCAGAAACACAAAGTGTCACTCTTACCATCCTCTAACAACTTTTATGAGTATCACCGGAGAGAGGCTCCAAGAGCTGCAATCCTCAACGTCACTGAACACTTCAATGCACTCCTCTGAGACGTCGGGTTCACCGTATATCACCACCTAAAGAAAGTGAGAGTGGTAGCACGTTTCACTGCACTTTAACAGATCAAAATGAAATCTAGACTAGGAATAGAAAATAATCTTACCTTTCCAGGTCGGGGATTGATTTTATTCTGGACACTTCCTTTAAGTGTCTGTAATCAGATGAACAAAAACACAACAAATAATTAAACTTTATGTAAAGTCCTCTTTTCTCCTTTCATGATCCTTTAAGATCATATTTGCCTCATATTTGTCAATTTGGAAACATGTCTACCTTGAGCTATGCCAAAGTTGTCTTAAAACTCTCTTCGACAGGACTTCACTGGTGGCGCAGTGGTTAAGAATCCGCCTGCCAGTGCAGGGGACGTGGGTTCGAGCCCTGGTCCGGGAAGATCCCACGTGCCGCGGAGCAACTAAGCCCGTGTGCCACAACTACTGAGCCTGCGCTCTAGAGCCCGCGAGCCACAACTACTGAGCCCGAGTGCCACAACTACTGAAGCCTGCGCGCCTAGAGCCCGTGCTCTGCAACAGGAGAAGCCACCGCAATGAGAAGCCTGGGAACCTCAACGAAGAATAGCCTGCGCACAGCAACGAAGACCCAAGGCAGCCAAAAATAAAATTACATAAATAAATAAAAATTTAAAAAACAAAACAAACTCTCTTTGACTCTATTAAAATAAGGGCTTCCCCCCCCCCCCCAACTGTATTTGACATTTCAATTTCTGCTCATTTAAATGCCTAGGATACTTCCACCAATCTGGAAAGTTCAGGGCGCAAGAGTCAGACCTATGTTTTACGTCAGTTCACAGAACAAGAACTCAGCTAAGAGATTATGATTCAAACAATCTCAGTATAATTTCAAATAAACAGAGAAATTCTAATGGACTAATCACATATCTAGAATGAGCTGAATCCATTTTATGTGTGCATATACATATCTGAACCTATAATTACTTTTTTTCATCACATAACTAGTCTAAATAAAGTGTTTATGGTATATTTCACAATGTACATTGCACATGGTTACTTTAATCCCTCCTTTTTGATGAACAAAATATATTTTTATATGGCTCCAAAACTAATCATTTTCAAGACCATCTGACCAGTAAAACCAGAAATGCCTAAGATAATAAAAATAGTAATTACACATGTAAAAATATTATAAAACATGGACTACCTTCCACTGCTGAACAGGATGCCTATTCTAAGGACGGCCTTTGATCTGATCGCTCTTGCACCACACCAGGGTGGAATATGCCTGAAAGACCACAGGAAGGGCCTCAGTAGAGCATTATTACAGATTAAAATGCCATATGCTTATTTATATATGCACATTTCAAGAAGACAAGCTAAAGAAAAAGGCTGATATTTAAATAAAATTCAGGTAAGACATTAACGGGAGAATAGTTATATAGTCAACAAAGCCCAGGGTGTAAAGAAAAACAAAACAAAAAATTTCTTTTTAATCATAAAAAGGCCTAGAGAAAGTATAAAGTACTTTGTTTTTCCTTTTTACTCCATTTGATTGGGGTTTTCAAGGGACTCCGTAGGGAAATTGGATATTCTGTTGTCAGACTCGTCAGAGAGGTAATCTAAGAATGATTAAAAAGACAGAATAACGCTGTAATGAATGGGAAGTGGACCAGTGTCAATTTTGTGCTTCAGAGAAATACTCAAAAATCTTAGGATTTCTAAGTGCTATAGGCTGATTCAGTTTTACCTGTTTACAGCAGTGGTTCTCAAAGTGAAAGCCTGGGGTCCCTGGAGGGTCCCCAATAATTCTGCAGGGAGTCCATTAGGTCAAAACCATTTTCATAATAAGAAGAGGTTATTTGTCTTTTTCACTTTCTTTCTCTCACAGGTGTAGTGCGGAATTTTCCAGAGGGTCCGTGACATGTGATGACATCATTGCTCTGATGGCTACAGGAATGTACATTTGTATGTTCTAATTTTTCTCAGTATTAATTTCTAATATAATAGATGCCAATAGGCATAACCCATATCATCTGTGTGTGTGTGTGTGTGTGTGTGTGTGTGTGTGTGTGTGTGTGTGTGTGTGTGTGGCATCCACTACTGCTTGCTTTGCCCACTTAAGTCGGAGGCAGCATGGAGCAGTGGAAGAAGATGAATTTGAGCAGCAAAGGTCTGGACTCAAAGGTGGCTCCTTCACCTCCCATGGTATGATGGTGGGCAGGTTTCTTTATGTGTGTGTGTGTGTGTGTGTGTGTGTGTGTGTGTGTGTGTGTGTGTGTGTGTATGGCATCCTAAGAGTAAAAAATTTGAAAACTTTTGAGCAGAGGGATCTGAGCCTCTGCTGGAAATCCAACTATACATTTTGAAAGAGCTTCCAGAATTGTATTCCATGATAGGCTTGTAGCAAAAGCTAATACAACAAATTCAAACATGGGGCAGTGCCCTGTACAAATGAGGAAGGGGGCAAGATATTTTCTGCCTGGATAAACTGTGTTAGATGTTGATCTACACTTGCCAGGTAGCCTGGTTCACAGGGTGGGCAACAGGAATACAGAGGCCCACTCCTGTTTCTGGGCTTAGCAGAGCTGAGCTCTAAACCTTATCTGCCTCCCTCTTTCAACTTGAGTATCAAGCTTGGTAACGGAAAGCCACAAATTCACATCAAAAACTGAGTAAAGAAAACAACTTCTAGTAGGCAGATAAAAGAAGATGGATAAATCTTAATTGTTTCTCAAAATGGTATTTTGCCAACCTTTCTACTCTGTTACAGGAAAGTGCCAATGTAGGCCAAATTCTTTACTCCCCAACAGCTTTGCAGGAAAATAATATTTCCCTAATGAAAACTAATTCCAGATAAAGAGAAAATACTTTATCAACCATGTAGGATAGACACTTATTGCTACTAAGGGGAAGAAAGAGTGAATCTCAAAGTACAAGAGAAACGGTTAGGAACAAGATTCCTCGGTGGAGGCTTTTCCAGATAAAGGAAGCTGCTTCATAAATGTTCAAAATTCTAGGTATAGTATTGAGCATTTTTACACAGAACTAGGGAAGAAAAAACACCCTGTCTGTCTCTGAGCTCTCAAGGTACCTTATCTACACCTTTCACAATACAACACATAAATTCACAAGTGCCCTAAAATATTTGTAGCTCATTTTCCTTGCTGGACTACAAATGCCTTGAGAACAGAATCCAGGTACCTTTCCTCTTGGACTCTAAAAACGCTTGTACATAGTAGGTTTTCAAATATGTGATGAATGAATAAAAGACTATCAGACACGAGCATAGCCATTTTTAAACAAATAACATGAATTGTTCATCATCCCCTTCTCCTCTGACTTAAAAATACCCCACATAAATAATACTATGTTGCTACTTACTGTTGTATCTGATAATGACATTCCAGAAAAAGAAATGCTTGGGTCAAACAGGGTGGATTTGAAAAGACCCGGGAAGTCTGTGTCACTGCTTCCATAGCTCGGCAAGTTCGATTTAAGAACACTTTCAATATGATTAGCCTTTTCCATATCACCACTGTTCCTCAGTTTTGAAAATTCAGAAAATGTAGTTTTTGGCACGGGTAGGTTGCTTCGTGAATCCAGATCTTTTCTGTTTTCCTCTTTTTGCAGGTACTTTTCCACGGAGCTCGGACTTTCCAATCCCAAATGAGACGTATCTGACGAGTTGAAATTGAAGACCTTTATGTTGCTGGGTGGCAGACTTGGCTGTTCTTTCTCTGAACCACAGGGTGGGGCACCCTCAGCCACGGGCTGTAACACGGAAGGCCGAGAAAGAGAACTGCTGTGAGCGGTGTCGAAAGATGTGGTCATGGTATTGACTGATGTTACAGAGGGAGAAAAGATTTTGTCTTGTGGTAAAGAAGATAACATGCTTGAGAAAAGTGCACTTTTTTCTAGCCTCGATCTCTTGACTCCACCGTTTGTGACATCCTTGTTCTCCTTGTCATTTACTTCTGGAGCCGCCAGAGGCTCGCCTTTCCCACTAGTGCGAGTTTGCAAGGACTTGAAAAGGACACTCTGTTCAGTGGATGAACGTTTGGGTCTCAGTTTGGATTTGGTGTCAAGATTCTGCATCAGAGGTAAAGCTGGTGACATTTCTGGCTGGCCTTCCTTTTTCTTACCCAAACCAAAGGTAAACACATTGGGATCAAACACCTTTTCTAAATTGTCCTCATGAATAGGAGGCATGGCGAAGTGAGGGGCAGAGGAGTTTGGCATCCTGGCCTTCTTTTTCTTCTGGGGCACACAAACTGCGCTGTCCATCTTTTTTATAATCTCAGTGAATTTTTCCATATCAGAAGAAGAATCGAATACACTATCATCACTACCAGCAGAAATGTTCAAAAGGCTGGCAGGACTGTCCTGGCCATTTACAACATTTTGATTGGGTCTTTGAGGGGTTTCTAAATGATTTCTGTTGCCAGGGTAGTTGGTGGTGCTGGATTCAGTCTTCACGGGTTTTCCGTTGCCCCGAATAGGCAGAGTTTTTTCTGATTCGGGCGGCATGACTTGTGGGCCAGATTTTGCTACGTGCTCCTCTGTGCAGTGAATGTGTTTGGGTGATGTGCTCTTATTGCCCTGTACTTCCTCTTTCTGGGGAGTACGACTTGCAACGGAAACCACTTCAAGTTCATTATTGTGACAGCTTGGCAACTGTGCTTCTCTAACTTCAGAGCTATCTGAGATGATCCCAGAGTGGACATCCTTGGTGTTCTCCACAGGGAGCACGAAGGACCTGACCTGGACAAGGACCTTGGATGGACACTCATTTCCCATAGCTGCCAGGCTGTGCTCTGGGGACAAAGGAGGGCTTCTTTCTCCCCCTCCTCCTCCTGCAAGTCTGGAGGGGGACATCTTCTCATTATTCTGATGAGACACAGGCAGAGTACATCCATTATGGTTTTCTGACACTTTTAGATCAGTGCACAGAAAACTGCTTACAGGAGCTTGAGCACATGTGTCTTTGGGATCATCCACAGGAATGGGGGCAGCCAGTGAAAGAGAAGGCCCATTAGATGACCCAGCTGGGTGCTGTGAGTCAGAAAATCCATCCTGTGGCTTTGGTATGGCTGTTGGAGGTGAATCTTTGGCCTCAAGAACGTCAGGGCTGTCTTGTGCTGTATCAGTCATATTTTCACGTTCAAGTCTTTTGCTGTCAGCCTTTGAGTTGTCCTCTCCTAAGAGCTCGTGGTCCTTAACAGGAATCAGAGCAGTAAGCACTGGTTCAGAAGGGCAGCCAGCATCTGTTTGCCCATCTACCTTATCACCTTGGTTAAGCCAAGAACCAGGAGTCTCCTCTTCAGGAACAGTAACTTTGGCTTCTGCCGAGGTTTCCTTCCCCAGCACACCATTCTGGTGACTATTTGGCATCAACTTCTTTTCGGGCTCCTCCATTTCCTTGGCTTTTTTGGCTAAATTCAGCTGTGCCCTCTCGACAAATGTTTTATTAGAGGCAGGAGTGTTCCTCACACCTCGAAGGTCAGCGTGTCTTGGGCTATTGTTTGCCTGCTTGTTTTCAAATAAGGAGATTTTGGTGGCAGTGTTTCCTTTGTGAACTGGCTGGCTAAATGGATTATGCGCATTTCCCAAACTGCCAAGATTCTTAGGGGTTTTAAGATTTAGTTCCACATGTTTGGGCTTGGCAGGGCTGCAAAAATAAAGCAGCAAGATGAAGTTATTAACCTGGGTTTTAAAGTGAACATACCAATTTATTACAAAACTGTGAAAAGCCAATATCTTTCTGATAGGTAACATTTTTGATGAAACTATTTTTAAACAATTCTAAATATACTATCAATTACCTTTAATGGATGTTTCACTTCCGTATGGGGGATGAAAAACTATATAGCTAAGAAAGGCTAAAGGTGAGAGGGTAACAGGTTTTCTAATAAGTTCATCATGTACCTAGTAGATGAGTACAGTGCTTGGCACTAGAGTTGCGACTGAAGAACATTAGAACCAATTTAAATACTTCCTGCACTCCCATACTATAAATATGTAAATGCTTTCCCCAAAAATCAATTGTGTACTTTTTTATAACTCTTTTTTTACATCATCTCAAAAGCGAGATTATAAAAAATATTTATCTATTACTTACCTCTTTGGATAGTTTATTCCCTTCATCCTTCCCCCATAAAATTTTTCTCTGACTATGCAAGTGTGTTCACTATAGAACATTTAGAAAATATAAAGACAAAAAACCACTCATAATCTTACCACTCAAACACTATCCCTGTCAACATTCTAGTATACTTCCCGTCTTTTTTGTATGCATAGGGAAATATTTTCAATAGAATTGAGATTAGTCTGTTCATAGAGTTTGGTATCTTGCCTTAAAAAAAAAGAGATTTAACATTTTTAACATTTTTCAAGTTACTAAAAGATATGAAAAGTCTTCATAATGGCTGCATAAAAATCCATCATATAGGGCTTCCCTGGTGGCGCAGTGGTTGAGAGTCCGCCTGCCGATGCAGGGGACACAGGTACGTGCCCCGGTCTGGGAGGATCCCACATGCCGCGGAGCGGCTGGGCCCGTGAGCCATGTCCACTGAGCCTGCGCGTCTGGAGCCTGTGCTCCGCAACGGGAGAGGCCACAACAGTGAGAGGCCCGCGTACCGCAAAAAAAAAAAAAAAAAATCCATCATATAGATGTACCACAATTTACTTAACAATTACTCAGTTGTTGGTTTTGCCACCATTCTGGGGGCAAAGAGAGTCTCCCTTCTTTCTCACATTTCTTGGGTGTAATTGCCCCCTAACGGAAATTTTAAGTCTTTGAATGTACACACTGTTTTCTTTCTGAGGAAAAAAATGTCCTCTGGCTCTGGTCCTGGCTCTTATACCAATTATCTGTGTGAACTTGGTCAAGCTACCTTAACTCTCTAAACTCTACCTTCTCTACCTGTAAAAATAAACAAAAAACTAGATAGTTTAGAACGTGTGTGTGTACTGGTTCACACACCTACATGTTATCATTGAAGATATCCTGTTCTCTTCAAGGGCTGCAACAGGGGACAGTAGAAACTGGGGGATGGAACTGTTGGCCAACCACCCTCCTTTCAACCAGAATCACTTTTATATAAGCTTTCCAAGAAGAACAGACTCCAAAGCTAAAAACAAAAATGTCTAAATCATTAGTCTAGTGGTTTATAAAATATAAGAGATAACACCCACTGACATTCACTGATCGTCGAGCACTTTCTATGGTTTGCCTCACGTACAATTTTACACATTCTCTTTTAAGATGAGGAAGTTGGCATCTAGAGAAGGTAAGTACTTTGCCTGAAGTCACACAGCTAGTAAGTGACAGAAGCCAGGTGTTCTGGTTTCAGATGCCATGCTCTCAACAACTCTACTATTCTGCTTCCCCAGATAGGATCAGACTAGATTCGCCTCAATGACCGCCTCTGGTTCTTTCCAGCTTTATGATCCAAGGAGTCAATAAATTATCAAGAGAGCTATAAGATAATCATACCTTAGAGGCCACCTCGATAATGAGAACACAAAGTAGGGAAGCATTAACATCTCACACTGTCTCCTGCATGGACTCACTGGCCTTCAAGAAGGCTGGGCCTGAGGAGCCTTTTGAAGGAACAGGCAGTAGGACCTTGGACGAAGACACTTTATTCTTCTGGAGAAAATGATTAGACTGAGAAGACTTGAGATGTCCTTCCCAAATACAGCATTAAGAATTAGATGTTCATTTTTAAATTTTTTATTTAAATACTGTATTTGATATATTCTCATGAATTTCTCCTCGGCATTGCTTTCCCCAATATCTCCTTAAGATATCTTAGCTCCCTCACAGTGGGCCCTTATCTGAAATTTAAAAGCAAAATTAACTTACAAGCACTTCCTTAAAGATTCAGTTCTAAAACCAGTGAGATGATTAGAAATAAGAGAACTTACAAATGCTATCAGTTAATGAGGGATGTTCACAGAGCAGGGAATATATGTTTAAAAAATTCTCACTAATCAGCTCAAGGAACAGTCAAATATCAAAGTAGATCTTATGATGTAAATGGAAAATGCTCCAGGTTAGCCAATAAGCTACGTTAAGGACAGGACACACACATCTGCACGTTAAAGATTTACACCAAGATCAAAATACATTTTACAACCAAACTTTCTGTGCTATTAACTTCTGCTACAGAGAGTCACTACAATTAACCTGGTTCAAACTGATTAAAAGGAAGACTCCTATAATTCACGCTGTAATGCCTTCATTAAGATGTGAGATGGGAAAATATCCTGGAGTCTAAGAAGCCATGGCTATAATATGAGAAGAAAATTCTCCTTATTCTAAACATACCATTTTAAGAATCTCAACATTCAATACTTGGTAGAACTGAAGACATAATTTCTCTAACAGCATCAAGAAACATGCTGCTTCACAGTGATTATTTTTCGGGGAATATAAAATGGTTTTAACTATAAAATTTTAGATTCAAGTTGCTTTTAGAAATAATCCGCGTAACATCTCCAGTTGAAAACAATGAGGAAAAACTAAAGGGTCTGAAAAAGAATCCATCAGTCAAACATAAATGGGTCAAAGGATGAGAAACAATTATTAATTCTCCATTCCAATAGTTTGCCGATTCACCAAGTGCAAGGCCGTGTGCAAAACAGAATTAAACTGAGCCTCTGGCAAAGGAAAATTTTAGGTAGGAAATAATCACTCCTTAGAAAAAGACATTTGGCTTAGTTCTGTCACAGGAAACAGCACATGACGAAGAGTTTCATTGCAAGATTGCTTGGTTTGTTTACCCTATCCCTTAACGGTGCAACATTTCTGGTTTTTCCACTGGTGTATTCTGACTGGAAGACAGGGGAAGCACCCTTAATCAGGTACACAGCATAGTTTCTCTAAGGCTCACACTTAGGAGGTTTGAATGTTCAGTCACACTGGCCTTCTACAAATAATGGGCATCATTCACTCAGGTTATTTCTCCGATGCTGCCGTTACAGAATCAATTGCTGGCTCTATCTATTCTGTTACAGAATAAATTGCTGACTCTATCAAAGTTCTCCAGGTTGGCAGCCGGTGAGGTAGCTCAAGTTATTCATTAAGCAGTGTTTCCCAAGAGGGCTACCTACTCTTAAGCTTACTTATCCAAATTCAAATAGAATGAATCCATTCAGTTTAAGAATGATAATGCTGTGGACTTCCCTGGTGGCGCAGTGGTTGAGAATCTGCCTGCCAATGCAGGGGACAGGGGTTCGAGCCCTGGTCTGGGAAGATCCCACATGCCGCAGAGCAACTGGGCCAATGCGCCACAACTGCTGAGCCCACGTGCACAGCTACTGAAGCCCGCGTGCCTGGAGCCCGTGCTTTGCAACGGGTGAGGCCACTGCAGTGGGAGACCCCCACTCTCCACAACTGGAGAGAGCCCACACACAGCAACGAACACCCAATGCAGCCAGAAATAAATTTATATATATATAAAAAGAATGGTAAAACTGTGAAAATCTCAGCTCTTTTAATAAATGTGTGAATGCTGGAAAAAGTTTAGGTACTCACTTTTCACATGTGCTGAGAGATGGAGGAGGATGAGTGTGGGAAGGGGGATGGTCTTAAGAGTTTTCCAGGGTGCCCTCCCCGTCCTGTCTACCTATACAGATCACACTCACCATCAAGGCACAATCCCATTTCCTCCAAAACACCAACAGTGATTTCTTCCTCCTGTGCACATCCCCAGCCTTGGGGATGGTAACATCCATTTGGCAGTTTAATCAGATTATCACCTCTTACAGTTATTTGATTTGTCAGCATCTTGGGTGCCAGAATGTGCCATAAACTTTTCAAAGGCAATATATACTGAATCACAGTTGTGGCTTTTCTTCCCATTGTTCCTAGCACACTACCATGCACAGAAGGTACTCAATAAATATTTGAGAAATCAATAAACTTAACAGCAAGTGGTCAAAGCCTGCTGTTGAGCTTGATCCTTCTAACGTGTCCTTTCATTTATCAAATAGTCTTCCAGTAAAAACACTGATCTTTCTTCATTTCAATAGTTGAAAATTACTTTTCGACCTGGTGGCAAAAATATCACAAAACTACCTAACATTGTAAAGGGGAACCAAGATACTCGTATTAGAGATTTTTTTGTAAAGCTTTAGGCCAATAATGCACCAAGTTCCATAAAAGGTTCTGTGAATTCTATTAAACTCAGACACGTCAAAGCTACTGGGTATACTGTACACACTAGTGTTTGCTCCGTTTTCAAATTCATTTGTGTTTCAAGAATGACCCACCCAGGAATGCTGGCGCATATTCTGAATAAAGAATAGAATTAGTTCGTCAAGCCATGCAGTCTTCTATTATTTATGTAAACACTGAACCTCCAGAGATATCTCACTTTCACATTCATTGAACTTAAAAGGCTTATATTAACAGGAATTAACATCCAACTAAGGTCCCGAACGGGTCATCTTCTTAAACCTTAACTGTGCTAACTAGCCCTTCACTACCTTAATTTCACCACCGAGGAGAAAACCCAGTGCACACAGTTCTTCCACAAATGCAAAGAACCTGCGCCCCTCAGAGCGGCCGCCCAGCCCGTGTGCGGCCACCGCGGCTCGCCAGCCCAACCCCGCAGTTACTTACATGGTCACTGAAGTGGTCACTGTCCACTTGCCCACACCGAAATGGGTCCTGGGCTTCAAGCCGTCGGCGTCAGAAGCTCCGACCGATCTGCCCAGCTCTTTGCTTCGACTTCCCTCTCCCCGGCCGTCGAAGAGGTTGGGGAGCGGCCCCCTCTTGGTCTCGGGCTTGATCTCGGACGGCAGCGAGCTGCTCTTGACCATAAGCTTGCGGTGGATGACCTGGGCCGCTTCCTCCCCGCTCTCCTTGGCGGCCGGGCCGGGGCCGGACGCCCTCCTGGGAAGGGAGTCCTTGGCCGGAGCCCGCGGGCCGCCGGCGGGTGAGGTGGGCACGGCCTCCGGAACGTGGCTCCGGCCCCTCCTCTTGGTGGGGGACGAGGCGGGCGGCGGCTGCTTGCTCCGCTCCGACTCCCCTAGCGGCTGCCCCTTGGGGTTGGGGCTGGGCTTGGACTCTAGTCCGGAAACAGAGGCAACGCCCCCGTCGGGGGCAGCCCGGGGAGATTTCACTTTCTTTTCAGCAGAGCCGTTCTCGGCGGCCGCGTTTGGCGCCACCTCATTGTCGAAGACCGCGTCATTCCGGGGCTCGCAGTCAGGCAGCGGCGGGTCAGCACCGGGGGAATCGGTGGATTTCTGCGACCTCCTCCGCCTCCCCGACCTTCGGCCGCTCGACCTCTTCTCCATATCTTCGCAATCGCCGCAATCTTCAGCCCCGGGACTGATCACAACCGGCTCGTCCACCCGCGCCACCTCAGTCTTACTCAAGTAGATGTCCAGAGTCAACACTTTGGCGCGGTGGGCGCGCTCGCGGGATCGACAGTCTTGCCCCGGGGGGTCGGCTTTGCTGTTTCCCGGCGCCGAAGCCGCCTGGTTCTCTGCGCCCTCAGCGGGACGGTGGCCCGCAGGAGCCGATGCGTCCTCGGGGGGCTGGCTCAGCGCGTCTTGGTGCTCCGGAGAGCCTCCTTGGGCACACACGCGGGCGGCCCCGTCGGCCGGCTGCTCCCCGGCGGGCGAGCCCGGCACGCCCCTCGCTCCCCGAGCTGGCTCCTGCTCGCGGCCAGCGCCGGGCGAAGCGTTCTCCTGCCCGGAGGAATTCCCTAGTGAGGAATGCAGCTGCTTGGCAGCGGTGGTGGCATCTGGGAAAGTCTCTCCCTCTGCCTCCAGAGGTTCTAATTGGGGTGAGTCACTTTCATGGCCCTGCTGCACAGCCGCCTCCGCTGCACGGCTGCCCGAGCCAGGTGACCGCTCGGCGTCCGGGGGGGCCGCCTGGACGCAGCCCTCGGGGCGCTGGCCCTCCGGCTCCTGGCACTTCTCCTGGGGGGAGCCCTCCTCGCACGTGTCTGTCTGCTTTCGTTGGCTGCCCTGAAGTTGACTCTTCTCAGTCTCTGTTTCGGGGAGTTTGGAAGAGGTTACTTCTTTGGGAGAGACTGATTTGGCATTTGAGCTGGTGGGACTCTCTAACCCGTTTCTGGTGTTCCTTCTCCTTCCTGCCGTGAACAGAGTGCCGAGTTTTCCCAAAACTGGTTTCCTTTTGTTCTCTTCTGGTGGTTGTGCGCTGGACTGAAAAATAAAAGGGGATGGGAAAGAGAGAACCTGAGAATCCGGATTTTTCCTTTAGTAGTTAAGTATATTATGGAACTACAAGCCAAAATGATAATAGGCCAGAGTTTCTAACTGAAAACGAGATTTGTGTTTGGGAATTCATTCCGACAAAATAAACTCTTATTTTATCTTTTGAATTTTTCTCAAACACCATCTATGCTTGGCGCTACTGAAGAGTAACATTAACTATAGAAAGAAAATTATTAAAGAAAATTCGGAAGGTCCAAATAATCACTCAAGCAAAATAAACAACTCCTAGGTCTTTCTACGTTTTGCTTTTTACCTCCTTCCTCCGTAAAGATGCAATTGCAAAACAGCCATGCGTGACTACAGGGCAGCAGTAAACATACTAAAGGCGGAATTTTTTCTGAAACGCCGCCTTTTCTTTTTGTAGGCGGAGAGGAGTACGAGGAAGAACAGCCTTCTCCAGAACTGAAGGAAACCACTTGGGTTCAACGTGACTGCAAACGAAAAACCTTGAGAAAACGAGAATTCGAGCCCCTGGGCATGCCCTTGACCAAGCCCGAGGTTCTCGGCGCGCCAGGCAGCGCGCGTCCAATGGGGAGAAGCACGTGGGCATCAAACGCCCGCTAGTCCTCATGGAACACAGCTGACCCCTGCCGAGCCCACCCGAGAGGGTCTTCTCCGCGGGTAGTTCCGGGGAGTGTCAATAGGGCGAGCACGTGCGGGAGGGAGGGCGAAGGTGCTGGGCGACCGCCTTCGCAGGTCCCCACCCCCCGACCGCACCCCGATCTGGCCGGGTCTGACGGAAGGGCGCGGGGCTCTCCCACGCGCACCTCGGCCGGGGTTCTGCCCCTCCCCACCCCGCTGGGCCCCGGGTGCGCACCGGGGCGGGGGGGGG